GGTCCAATTCTTCAACTTTATCCTCCAGTGTTGATATTCTGTTTTCCATTTCATTCATTCTAAAGGTGAGGCTTTCCCTGTTGTTTCAAGTTGGCTTATTGAGTTTTGCACTTCCTTCTTCATTTCTGCCTGAGTCTTCTTCAATATTTCCATCTCTTTTGTGAATTCAATCAGGTGTTTATCCCTGTCTTCTTTTAGTTCTTTGATTTGTTTGTGTGTTCTTTAAATTCATTGAATTCCTTGATCATGTTTATGATTTTTTTTTTTTTTTTTTAATTCAGTGCCCTGGGTTATCTCTAGAGGGTTCTCCTTGCAGAATTCTTCTACAGGACTGATGGAGTTTGGTGGGGACATAGTGTTTTGGCTTTCCATTTTAGGTTTCAGGTTCTCTCAGGTTTTATTTTAGAGGGAACTGATGACTTCAGATCAGCTATTCAGGAGCACCCACAGAAGCCCAAGTCAGGTTCCAGTCAGTTACACTCAGGCTTCCTTCTAAGGTTTGGACTCCACCAGGTGGAGGCAGGATCCTGGCAGTCTCAGGCAGCCCCCTGTGTCCTCAGCCCCTATGCCAGAGGGAGGCCAGGGCCTGGCACTCTCTGGCGGTCTCTCCAGATTCTTTTTTAAACAAAACATGATAAGGGCTTAATATGCTGCAGGCACTGCTTACGCAGGCTCAGGAAGGAGTCACTGCTCAGAAAGGACAAGACAGATTTACTGACAGACTCACTGGTAATAAGCAGCTCCTATTCCCAGGTCAAAAGTCTCACTTTCACAAGGTTGAGAAAGAAAAGGTGTATGATGATAGCACAAGAAGATCAAATACATGTACCTTGTACACGTGAGCTCGGAGCTGGTGACTCTCAATTAAGAGAGGGAGCTTGCTGGCAATTTCCATCCAAGGCTTATAATGATCTGGAAGTTCTTTCTGCATTTAAAACAGAAACACCACAGTATTTTAGACCTCCCTGGGAAGCAGCTTTGGAATCTCTCAAAGAGAATTTAAAACAACCCAGCTGTACAACTGAGAAATCAGCACAAGCCTGGCCTTCAGCTACGCTGGCTGTGCAGATACACAGATGACTAGAATGCAAATCGTGTATTAAATCATGGCAAGGGAAGGAAAAAATGCAGTCAAGTGGATCCTCGTAAAAATAGTATGTTTCATTTCTGATGTGTGCAAGCTTGAGAATTTGCAGAAAGGGGAAGTGGCTCATTCCCTCAGCTGCTCGGGAGGAAAGGGAAATGCTCACAGAAACAAGACACTGGAGCCTGGTTTGAAGTCCAGTGGAACTTTTTCTTTCCTTCTTTGTTATTCTCAGTTTTCGTTTTTTGAGATGGGATTTTGCTATGTAGCCCAGGCTGACCTTGAACTCACAATCTCCTGCCTCCCAGGGATTATAGGTATGAGCGACTGACTAGGCTTAGTTTATTTTATTTTGAGACAGCCTCACTAAGCTGCCCCAGGCTGATCCTAAACTTGTGATCCTCCTGCTTCAGCCTCCAGAGTAGCTGAAACTGCAGGCTTGTGTCACCAGGCCCAGCTGCATCCATTCTTATGCACCCATTTTTATTGGCCCCCACTCTCACTTGTCTGTGGCTGCTTTTGCATTCAGCAGCAGCACGGGGCCATGGCAGCAGAATGCCATGTGATATGCAACAGAAGTTTATTCACCAACCCCTGAGCTAACCCAATGCCTTTTCAGTGAACGTGGTGTCTCTGGATTAAGCAGAAAAAGAGATGATGATGATGTCCATTTTTATGAAGGAAGTTGTCCTGTGATGGATAGGAATATAAACCAAAACAGGAAATGCAAACGGTAGTCAGAGTAGGCGAAGAGCTGGCGAATGTGTTTTTCATAGATTGACGTTAAATGTGTCTAGCATTTAAAGATATGATTGTACCAAGAAGTTTGAGGTTCAGGAGAAATGTATTATTAGAAGCATCGTTATTGTAAAGCTCTGCACGTGGTTAAAACCACCAAGTAGTCCAGGGCTTCTAGAGATTATGCAAATTGAAGCAGGAAGGAATCCTAGATAAGCGCCCTGGGGAATATTTACAAAGCTGGTGGAGGAATTGAATCCATCAGCACAGATCAAAACAAAGTTCTAAAGGTTCAGTGAGCCCCAGAGAAAGGCCACGTGGAAGTCAAGACTAGGGGAATTTTATGAAAAATAATCAGGGTGAAGAGCATCAACAGAAAGTCAAAAGGGGCTGCCCTTGAAAACAAAGCGACACAAGGAAGTGTATTTAGTTTCTCTAGGTATAAACTGTAGAAAGTAAGGTCATGGACTGGGAGGCTGAGTTCAAATGCTATCATTTTGGGGAAGGAAGAGACAGAGAACAGGTAGATGGAATTTTTTAGGAGACTCCAGCAAAGAGGAATCTGCTTTGGTGTGTGTGTGTGGGGGGGGTCGTTGAGGATAAAGAAGGTGAAAGTTTTATAGTCTGCCATTGGAAGAGGAGACATGGAAGAAGGGAGCTGGGCTGCCAGGAGAGAGGGCATACGAGAAGGCAGTGGTTTCCTGGAGAGGAGAAGCAGGAGCCTGTAGAGAACATCTGGCCTGTCAGTGGCAGAAGGGAGGCTCTGGGTGGTTTGTTTTCTGTGGATTCAGCTTCTCAGTACGCTGGAGTAAGGTCAGGCTCTGAGACTTCAGCAGAGGACTTAACATTACACAAAGAAATGAGAGAAAAGAAACAGGGAACCAAACCCAAGAAGATGCCAGAATACAGGAGGGAACCAGGGAAGTTTGAAACTACACACTGGGAGAAGTAGAGTGATTTTGGAACAGAAAATCGAGGCTGCCAAGTCACAGAAGTCATAGCGGCCCCTTACGGTGAGTCCTAAGAAAGGGTGCTGAAGCTAGATCACCATCTGTGTCTTTTCATTTTTGGTACCTAAATAAGGAGTCACAGTCACCCCAAAGTGACTGCTTTTACAGTATTTCTAGTCTTGTTATTGATGCTTACCTTTAATCCATCTGTATTTTTATTATGAGTTAGGAATTCCTATTTCATTATTTCTATTTTGAAAAGGATAGTTAGTATTGATTGTTAGCTTGACAGTCCAGAATACTGTCAGAGACCAGCCTTTGCTTAGGTAACCTAAAATTTTGCAAAAATAGCACATGGAAAGTAAAAAGTCCTCCAACCACTATGCTGACAAGCTATAGTCACACCTCCTTCCCACACTCATCAAGGAGTCCAGGGGCAGTCAGTTACCCCTCCTACCCAATCAGTCAACCTTAGCTGCATATGGGGGAGAGGCTAAGGATATACAAACTGCAGACACCAGGAGGCCCCTCTCTCTCCATTTTGTGTGGCTGTGGGGAAGTCACAGGATCTATATTTGAGTGTGGACTTTCCAGCACAGCCATAAATGGGGGAGGATGCCCACTCTTCTGTAAATAAACCCCACACTATGCTCTGTTAGCAAGCCTGATTAACTGGTTGGGATTTTCAAAAAAGGAAAAAAAAAAAAAAAAAAAAAAAAAAACAGAGCTAAAGGAAACCTTCAGTACTCCACCAAAGTTGACCCATGTTGACAAATCCTTCGGGCTTTTTTTTTTTTTGGTCTTTTTGGGTTAGTCTCCAGAAAGCCCCAGCTGGTCTGGAGCTCCCTGGGTGGACCAGGCTGCCTAGAACTCACAGAGACCTGCTGGGGGGTTCTGCCTCCCAAGTGCAGGGGATTGAAGATGTGTGCCACCACACCCGACTCTTGTCTTTGATTTCTTATCCCTACGTTTCCACCCTTAAACTTCATTGTATAAATGTTTTTATGTAACCTGCTTCAAGTTATTTCTGGGAAAATGTGTTAAAAATTGCCTCTCTTTGGAATAATAAAAATATTCTTAAAAAAAAATTGGGAGGGAGCGAGAACATTAGAAAGGAAATAGTTCCCGATGACATTTTCCTTCTCTGTGTTCTCCATTTCAGGCAAAGCTTCCACCATCATCCAGTCATCTAACCTGGAAGTCACACCTGCTCTAACCTGGAAGTCACGCCTGCTCTAACCCAGAAGTCACGCCTGCTCTAACCCGGAAGTCACGCCTGCTCTAACCTGGAAGTCACGCCTGCTTGCTTCACTTTTGACCACACTACTTCATAGAATCCACGCCCTTTCAAGTCTGTGCCTGCCTTCATTAACCACCTGGTAGAGACTTTCATTCTGCCTTCTTTGGATTATAAAGACATTTTAAATGAAAAAAAAGAAAAAGTAATAGTTTAAGCAGAAATGAACCAGATGAATCTCAACAGGAAAGTTGAGAGCTAGAAAGAGCCAGTGTCACTGGGCAGCAAAGAGAGGCTGAGCAGAGGGGCACCAAATCCCTAGGAAATGGGAGGACCATGCGGTTGCCAGAGAGATTTGACTTGCTAAAGAGCAAAGGGAGAATTTCTCAGACAGTGTTTTAGTTAATTACCACATGAGCAAGTTGCCCCACTAACTACTGTTGAAAGAGTGTTTTACAGCTGGACAAGAGCTGTAACAGTACAGAAGGCAACAAGTCCGGGACATAGTGTCAGCTAAGAGATCTATATCAGAAATACCATCAAATTCACTGCCACGCAGAGCATCTCCAGGCTAAGATCACTGTAGTGACAATAAGCTCAGTAGATAAGAGTCAAAGTTAGCAGCGGCCCTAGCACCAAGTAGTAGTGCCAGCATTATATTTTATATGCCATAAGGACACATACTATGAAATAAGATACATATTATTAATGAACTATGAGAGAAAAATCATGAATAAATTTTGTTATTTGTATCCTTACCCCTGGAAATTACAATCAAATTTTTGTCTAGAAGTAAGAAATCACAACATACAGAAAATAAGTATATAAGAAATAGAAAATGTCATTTAAAACTTACTCTTGAAATCCATACAGCAAAGATCTAGGCTACCTTACCCAATGTATGACCTCTAGTACAGATCACAGATGAAATGGGACAACATCTAATGTATCTTCTGAAGAAAAAGGAACCACAGCACAGACATCTGATCATACGACCTTGTGTTTCTGTGACCATTGTTTGATTTTTTTCCTTTTTATTTGGTCCTTTCTTTTTGAGACAAGATCTGCCTGCATTTCCCAGGCTTTAACCTATTATGTATCCCAGGCTGGTCTTGAACTTGCCATTCTCCCCTCTACCTTCTGGTTGTTACAGTTACAAGCGTTCACCATGCCATTAGGCCAAATGGTAATTTTTTTGTTTTTATTTATCTTTATAATTTGTTAGCTGTGCTACTTACACATACCAGGAATGCAGTCCTACGGCTGAGTCCGGTGACCACTGACATTTGGCACTCTCCCCTGTCATCGGTCACATCTTTTCCACCTCACATGCCTATAAATCAGGTTTGGGAAACTCAGGGCAAGATAATTCATTCAGTTAGGATTGCTGATACGGCTCCATCTCCTTTGTTCTGAGTCTTAACAAACAGTCTATGCCCACTTAGAAACTATGAATGCAGTCTTATGTGGGAAAAGGTGTTTACTGATAAGATTATCTGGGATTGAAGCCAGTGACCGGTGTCCTTCTAAGAGAAAATACATCTAAGAAAGGAAAAGACACAGATGAGCAACGGCCACATGAAGACAGGAAGAGCGAGTGGAGGCGTCGCAGAAACCCGCTGGAGCCCCCGGAGCCTGGGTCGGACAGAGCTTCCAGGGGAAGTCTTTGGAGGAAGTGCCTCAGGTGCAGCACCGTAGCTTACAAACTTCCATTCTCCAGAATTCTGACTGCAAGTTTCTGTTGTTATCTTCGACCACAGTTTGGGTTTTATGTCACTGTTGCCCTGGGAAACCAACACAGTTCGAGCTCCTCACATATCAGATGTGGACTTTCCAGGGTCTGGCTTTCCCCTCCCTTCTTGGGAAATGTCAGCATACTGCTGTCTGACCCTTAAATTGCTTTCTGCCCAGACGTCTTCCCAGGAGACAATATTGTAAGTTGTTTCACGGTCTAAAATTCCGGTTTCTAGAGAATGGTTTTGGCTGTGCTGTCCGGCTTCCCCACGTCTGTCTGCCTGGTTCCCCTTTGTCTCCACCCAGACTTTGGGTTCTTTAACCCCGGCAAAAAATCCGTACTTTATATTTGCCCTTATTTTCATCAACATTAACAGGCAATTTGACCTGGGCGCTGCACAGCTTCAGTGCAAACTTGGCGCAGCTGCGAAGAGGAAGGCTCAGTTTGGGGAATTTCCTCTGTTGGTTTGGATTGTCGGCCTGTGAGGCATTTTCTTGATTGTTGAGTAATGTGGGAGGGCCCAGCTCACCCTAGACAGTGCCACCCCTGGGCAGTGGGCCTGGGTTATGTAAGAAAACAGGCTGAGCTCTGGCCAGGGGAGCAGGCGGGTCAGCAGCCCTTCCACTGCGGTCTCCACTTGGGCTCCCTCCAGGTCCCTATCCTGAGTTCTTGCCCTGGCTTTCCTCAAAGATGAACTTTGATCAGGAGGTGTAAGCCAAATAAGCCCTTTCCTCCCCAAGTTGGTTTTGGTCAGTGTTTTATCACAGCAGTAGAAAGCAAACTAGGGCTACCTCCTTGCTACCTACTATGGACCTGAGGGCCTGATTATCACCAAATGTCCTTCTTCATCCTTTGCCAGAAAAGACATTTAAAGTCCTCACATGAATGAAAGAAAATTAGAGCTGGAAATAAAGAGTTACATTTTGAGACATCTGGGAAATACGGGGCACAGGGTGGAGCAGGAGATTTCTTTTCTGTGAGCTCAGGACTGGGAACTTTTTAGAAGTGGTGTCAACCAAATCACAACAGAGTCCCCTCTCATCAAGTGGTAAGGAAACATGACGTTGCCTTCATGTCTTATCTGGCCCCAGTGTTTACAGACAGAAACAGTAACACCACGGCCCTACCCGGCGTGTCCCTGCTCTGTAGGGCTGCCTCTCCTTAGCTCCCTGTACATGTTTAGTGGTAACAGGCGTAATCTTCTTAGCAGCCCTTCAATTAGGAAGGTTAGGAATACTCCTGAATCAAGCTACGTGCATGGATAGGATGTGTTTTGTTTGCTTGAGGTTTATGTTTGTTTTTGAGACAAGGTCACAGGGTCTAGTCCTGGAATGTGTGATCCTCCTGCCTCCCAAGTAAAGGGATTGAAAGGTTATGCCACCATGCCTGACCTAGGTGACGGTCGTGAAGTGTACTGTAGCTAGCTAGGGTCAGGAGGACTGCCTTCTGGTCTGGATGCTGAATTTCTTACAGTGGCTATCCACACTCTATAGCAATACCAGGAAAGTGGGACCAGACTGAAACCCAGTAGATGAAAACTGAGCGTTGGACTCTGAGTGTGGCTTTCCCAGGGTCTGCAAATCTCAGCCCTGACTCTTCTGGTTTGCCCAGGCCTTTCCTGGTGTAGTACAGAGCACGCTGCACCTCATGGATCCACTCAGAAAGGAGAAACTAGAGACAACTGGTCACCCTGGTGTCAGCGTCAGAGAACACATCAGCTCCAGGACTACAGCACGCCTCTACCTAGCAGTCTGTGGTCACTGCTGCCAATTGTTAGGGTATCAATAAGCCTCATAAATTGAACTGGTCCAGATAAAAAATGTCTAGTCTATCTGTTGGAGGACCTACTTTTCCAGTCTCACTGGTCAATTACCTGGTGATAGAACCACTCCCAGGAAGGCAGGTTCACGTTAAGTTATGCTAAATAGACAGGTGGAATACTAGTGTGTTAATAAGGTAGTGAATATTTCCTGTCTGGAACTAGCTCAGATCCCTGCAGAGCTTCCAGACCAGCCACAGCCATGTAGGTCTCATTAAGTCTGTCTGCTTTCCAGAACTCTTCAGAAAAGCATGATTTCTCCTTTGCTTCTTCATGCCTTTCTTGCTAAACATGCTTTCTTTAAGGCTTTCGGCTGCCCCTAACATCTTGTGTTTCTTCACTTTTTCTCTAAAGTTTCCTTCTCCCAGCCATGTGGCTGCCAGTCAGCCACGAGTCTGACCTCCACGCAGGCTCTAAACCTGCATGGCTTCATGATTTTCTTTCCTTCTTCCCACCATTCACCTCCTCAAGGCAGCTGCCAAGATGACCAGCTCGCCTGCTCTGAGGATTTTTCTTTAAGACTAAGAAAATTGTAAAAGCTTCCATTTGGGTCCATTCTTATATTCTTTTATGAAGGAGACTAAGACCCTCTGGGGGTCCCTTTCTCCTTGTTTCATAGTGAAGGAACTTGCAGATCTCTGACATGACGTTAAGCTAACAGCTTTCTGTAGAGAACTTAGTTTGTATCTTCAATAAAATCCCTTCAGTAATGTGCAAAAGCCAAAACGGACCTCTTGATTGGTGAACGAGACTGCGACCACAGTGCTGAGGGAGGTGCAGCAGAAGAGCCTACCCTACACAGTGAGAGTCCCTTCCAAAACACGGCAAAAAAGTCGTCACGATAGGTATTCACTAAAAGCTCTTTGAGTTCCAGACATTTCTTAGTCATAAGTAAGGGACAAGCTGGGCCAAGGGAGGGTGTTTCTTCTAATACGGAGATAGAGTGGCTGCAATGCTGAACCCCTGGGCTTTTAACTGAGTGGCTTTGTTTATGAAGCAATAAAATGGTGTCATGAGCGTTGAGCATTATTTGTGCTTTACCCCTAATGCAATGTGGGACACATCACCACCTCTGACCCAAACCATGCCTCAGACTGCATTTAGTGAGAAAACAGTGTTGATGAGGCTGACTGGAAATAGAAGACTTGCAGACTGATCAGGATCACATGCTAAGTGGGATTAAGAACTGCTTGTTTTCAAAAGTTCCTTCCTCATCTCAGAAATTCCTGACACTATCCAATCTGTCTCCAACTGTGAAAGTGTGGAATGTCCCTCCTTTTCATTTTCTCTTTTGCTCTCACAAGCAAATGAAATAAGATAGTTTGCATGAACATGTAACATGAGCAACAGTAAACCCCCCCTGCCTGCAGGGCTCCTCCTGAGGGACTGTGGGACACACTTGTCTCCAGAGCCGGGAGTGGCTCTGTAGTAGAGAAGCCCCATTATTCTGTGTTCCAGACAGCTGTGACTGGGAAACACGGACTGTTACTTCAAATATCTTCCTTGGGTTAATGACTTGATAGTTATACTGACTCTCGTAATAACCACACATAGTAGAAAACAAGCAGACAAAGCAGATCTTATGCAGACCTGAACAAGACAACCCTTACCAGAGGATTGGGAAGAAGAAAGCCATACTCTTCAGATATGTGGTAACTTTCCAAAGACAATGTCAGGGACGGCTCCGAGCTCTGTCTTTGAGGCTCCATAGCGTTGTTCAAAGTCACTGCATGGCCACCACCACTGAAGGACCGGAATAAAGACCACCAGTAAGGAGCTTCCAGGCTGTGTCTTTAGGGAACTTTAGCAGCAGGAGAGAACTTCGCCCTGAGGCTGAACTCCGGACTGCCACTAACCTGCTCTGAAACTAGGCTGAGTAAATAAGCTATGAATTAAAACAAATAAGCAAACAAAACAACTCCAGCAATGCCCTCTCTCCATCTTCTTTTGTGTGGTTTGAGGTTGGCCTTAAACCCAGAGACCGACAGCTCAGCTCTGGAACGGGGGAACAAACTAGACTTTTGGTTATGGCTGATCAGGTCCGTACCAGAAAGGAGTTTAGTTCAAATAAACCCCCACAACTCTTCAAAATTGCTAAATAAGGAGCCTTGGGGTGGGGGTGGGGTGAGTAAACTGTTCAAAGTACAAGTTACAATGATAGAATTGGAGGAAGATGCTAATACTACATCAGAATGTTATGATTTTCAGTTTATGTTAGCTGGTAGCAGTAAATATATTTTAAATTTTTTGATCATATTAAAGGAGGGTTTCTATATTTTAAAATATATCAGAAAATTTGAAATTAGGCTGAACAGATCGTTGGATTCAATACTCTTTTTTCTTTTTTTTTGAGAAAAGGTCTTACTCTGTTCAGGCTAACCTGAAATTCATTATGTAGACCAGGCTGGCCTTGAACTTACAGAGATCCACCTGCCTCTGCTTTATGAGTGCTGGGATTAAAAGCACAAAGCACCATGCCAGGTTCTTCTAGTTCTCTATTTGTAACAAATCTTTTCATTTTTGACTGGCATGTGGTAATTGTACTTAGCTTTCTCCTTTGTCTGAAGTTTTCACAAACTCTGTCACACTCTGCACCTCCGGGTTCAGCCCCACATCCTAAAGAAGCCAATTAAAACTTAAAAATTAATAGTAAAAAATGCAGACAAAGATTTAGTCAATGTGGCCACATTGGGAAGGGAATGAGGGCATCCAGTGACCACTCAAGTTCATCTTCAGTGTCCTGAAGTGAGATTAAAGTTTGAATATCAGGCCAGGCATATCATAAACACATCCCAGTAGTCAGGTCCAGGTATCTGCTTACCCACTCATCATGGTCTGGGCTCCAGTACATCTTGAAAGGTGGTCTGATAAGTTGCCAGCACTACGTGAAATCTCTTTCTGGAGGCAAGTTCCCCCTCTGGGCCAGGCTCCAGTCCTTTACTTCTTGCATGAGAGCCCTAGATGGAATTCCAGTTTCTTGGGATCCATTGTTTTAAAGTCTGATAGTCAAACTGAGGGACACAATGCCTCTTTAAAATGTATTAAAGATTTACTTTATTTTTATTATGTGTGTGTGTCTGTGTCTATGTGTCTCTGTGTGGGTATGTGCACATATGCGCATGTACCTACAGAGGCCACAAGTGTCATATACCCCTGGAACTGGAGTTACGGGATGTTGTGAACAACCTAAAATGGCTTTTGAGAACTGAACCCAGGTCCTCTAGAAGAGCAACACATGCTTTAACTACAGAGCCAGCTCCTCAGCCCCAAGAACACATTCATTTCTGCCTGACTGGCTTCGAGAGGACAGATTGTGAAAGTCAGTTTTCTCCCTTCCAACGTGTTCATCTGCAGGAGTTGAACTCAGGTCCTCAAGTTTGGCAGTTTCTACACACTGGGTAATCGTGTTGATCTCACCTAATGAAATTTTAAATAAAAAGTTTGATGAAGGCTGAGAGATGGCTTCATAGTTAATGCTTGCTGTGAGAGCCCAAGGATCAGAATTCTGATCCCAGAAACCCACACCAGGCAGGCAAGGTCGCCTGCTTGAAATTCCAGTCTGTGAAGGTAGAGACAAGGGTTCCTCAGGACAACCTGGCTAGCAAGACTAAACATACTGGTGAGATCTGGATTTGAGTGAGAGACTCTGCCTCAATGAATAAATAAGGTAGAAAAGCAAAGTGGGTTGATTCCTGAGATCAACCTAGGGGCTCCACACACAAGTGCAGAGACATAGATACACACACACACACACACACACACGGAAAATAGAAAAAGAAAAAATATTGATGATTTTAGTTATGAGGTTGGTTCTACTAATTTTATTTTACAGAACTGTAAACTGAGACACAGGTGTAGCTCATCCTGTACAACATCAGGTAACAGATGACTAGGCTTAAGATGTCTTAACTTAGACAGAATGCTCTGTTCATTCATCAGGGAGCCAAGCTGACTTTTGCTCAGTGGACTTTATACTCGGTAAATTAATTTATTTGGAAGCCAATTTATCCATACATAGCTTCCTTCCTCCCTCTCTCTAAAATAAATACAAAATCTAAGAACAGGTCACACTTTATTCTTCTAACAATTCCCATAGAAGTTTCTCAGCTGAAGGCTGGACACCTGAAGCAACCTGACCTACTTAGGGTTCATGCTGAGACATCTAGGAGCCACTGTCAAGTACCCACTAAGCTGTGATCCGATATCCAACCAGTCTTGAAGTCGTGTTTCTTGTGCCATCTAGCTGCAATTTCTCAGTCTCCAAGTCTTATTTTGCCCTCCACCCACAGGAAAATATACTTCTGCCGTATTTTAATCCCTTCATAGTCTTCATCCATTCCCCTCAAACCTTCGCAAGAATTTGCTTCAACATTAAAAAGCCATCAAATCATAAAATACAAGAACTGAGAGATGTGAAGGAATAAGTGATAGGATTCAACAGTCTCCTACAAGTAACCCAAATCTATGAAATGGTTTGTCAGCTGTTGCCTTGGAAGCTAACCTCAAAGCTCTCTAGTCCTAGCTCACTGCCTCCTGCCCTCCTTGGACTCAGGCAATATGACCAGGGCGTGGATTTCCATCTTCTCCTCTGTAACATAGGCACCTTTTTGACAAGATGCTTAAAATTCATATTTCCAGGAAATAGAAATGGTTATCCTAGAAACACTGTGCTGCGCAGATGAAACCATGTGTGAAATGCCCCATATAACAGCCATCCTATGGTCGTCATATCCTTAAAGATTTATATTTTTATTTTATATGTATAAGTGTTTTGCCTGAATGTATGTAAGTGTACTATGTGCATGCCTGGTAGCCCTAGGAACAGAAGGTAAGCTTGAGTTATTTACTTATTTTTATTTGTTTGTTTTATAGTGCTTGAGATCATGACATGAGTGATCGGTCACTGAGCTACAACTCCAGACCTGATTTGGCATTTTATACACAGGCCCAGAACCTTATCCAGTGGTAGGGAACACAGGGCCACACTATATAAGGACTCCCTTTCATATTTACCAAGAAGTTGGTTAACATGATTGTGTGGTAGATATGTTCCCAGTGGGACTGGGAGTTTCCGAGTTTGCTTTCTTATGAATCATGGTAGTATCTGACAACCAGGGTTTCTTTTCTTGTAGACTGATCTTTGGGAAATGGACTAATGAGTATTGAGAAAATGAAGAAAACACATTCATGACTGAATGATTTAGGGAACCATTCCTATGTCTACTGATGACATCAGATATACTTAGTTTTGGTTTCTATATTGGTAAAGTACTAAATCTAAATGACCAAAGACTAATGTTCTGAGCAGTTCTGAGTGTCCTTGTCCATCTCCTTAGTTCTTTCTTCATTCTTGTGTTCAATGGGAACGTTTTAGTCCTTTTCTTGGTTAACTATTTAGGCACCGGGCATTACAGCAGTTTTTAAAATCATTTTTCTTGACATCTATTCCTCCTTGTTTTTTTAAATAATGTATTGTGAATTTCATACATGCATTTAAGGTGTTTTGATCAAATCTTTGCCCACTCCCTCACCTCCAACTCCTCCCACACTCCCTATCACCTTTTTCTGACAACTTCATCTCTCTTTATTTCTTTTTTCTTTCTTCTTAATGGGGCTTTTTGCTACTCTAATATTCCCCCTTCTGAAGGGGTAACCCTAAAATCTTTGAAGGATTAGATAAGAGTTCCCAAATACTTTTGATATTTTTGGCCTTTGGAACAGAATATGTTGCTAAGAGGCTCAAGGACATTTTGACTTTTAGCCAAGAAACTGGCTACTTTTCTTTGGGGTCTTTCTACCCCAACTGCCTAGCCAGTTCCTACCTCCTATTCTTATCACACCATCCTCTGAAGGGGTTACCCAAATTGACAAAGAACACAGACAGCTCTGGCTTTGGCTTCTTCCATGCTGAACACAGGGTGAAGTAATTGGGGTACCCCTTCAGTGGGTCTAGCTAAAAGACTCCCAAATTGTATAACTCTTATCCGTAGGGGGAAAAGAAAGTCCTTGACTGATGAATAAGGGATGTGAAGGGAACATAAAGGCAAGAGTAATTAGCATTACAAGTTCTTGACAGGGAACTAGAAAAAAGTAGGAACAGGGTAATTTTCAAGTGTTCATATGAGAGTCCATTGGAATTTCCTGACAAGGGCTTCCAAAAATCATGCCTCTATTGGGTCCTGCCTCATTTTTCGTCTGCCAAGGCTGGACTTTAGAGTGATGGATTCAGGATTTGCTTTCAGGCACTTTGATAGCTGTTGGAGTGATTAGAATCAGTATCAGTTCCCTCTCAAAGACTTCACCATGTGGAGGCAGGATCCGGGCACTCTCAGGCAGTCCCCTTAGTTCTCAGCCCCTGTGCCCGGGGGAGGCTGCAACAGGCACTCTCCTCCTTGTTTTAGACTACTATTCTTCTTGATAATATTTCCAAGTCCCATAGTGAGCATCTTCCACAGAGGACTCACTTAACTCTCACCACCGCTGACCTAGGCATCGTTATCATTCCTGCAGTTCAGGTGAAGACACCGCAGCTCAAATGTGCTACACTGAGCTAAGCCCGTGCTTTCTGTAAACACAGAACACCTGATGTAGACCTCCCTTCCAGCACCTTCTCCAGTGGGCTCCCCCTGAAGGCCTGGCTTTCCTCTTTTCTCTCTGATCTCCCTGGGTCTCATTCCAAAGACCAGCAGTCTTCTGCAGCCTGGCATCTAGGAATGTTGTACTTTCAGATGGATCTGTCCTGAGTGCCAGGGCCCTGTGTCTTCCCATCTAATTGACATTGTCACTGGGATTCTCTAGAGGTTTCATGTGAGACATCTCAACTCATGAGGGACTTAGAGCACAGCCGGTCCTTCCGCTCATATTATAGAGCTTGGTGAAAGGTCTCACTGAGAACCAGCAACGCTGTTGGAGGGCTCAGTAAAAAACAGAAACAGAAAAAGAGTTCCCTTGCTCTGAACTAGAA